TATATATATATATATATATACACATTTGTTTCAATAAAAGTTGATCAGGATCAAAGTCGTGTCACAAACATCTTGTTTCGTTCATCCGTCAAGCTTCTGTTTGAAGAGGAAACTCCTGCAGCTCTCCTTCACCTTTTCCCYCATGGATCATTAAATATGAAGCAGGTGGTCCCAGCAGCTGGTGGAGGGATTCACCGGGGAGCGAGCACCGACCAACTCGTCAAAAATCCTCAGCAAGTTTCTTAATAATGCAGCGAAAATGACAACTCTGTAATTAGCCACGCTGCACTTTTTATCCCTCCGTTCAGTCCATTAACTGACAACCCACATCCAGGGAGAGGAGCCGGACCTTCTGCAGGATCCTGGACCAGAACCGCTGACACGCTGTGGAGCGAGCCGGGCTGCAGGGCTGACAGCATGATTAATGCAGGACTCCGGTGAAGACTTTCAGTAAATTACAGGAACAGGAGTGAGACGTCTGATGAATCGAGAACAGAACCGGTGACACCACACAGGTTTTATAAAACACAAATTRTGTTTTGAGGAACGAAGAACGAACCGACACATACGGTTAAAGAAGAGCAGAACTATACCACGATGGGAGAAAACAGGACACATTTTTATATATTTATATTTATTTACATTCATTCAGKGGAGGAGACAGACAGGAAGTTAGAGACAACTAAAAGCTTCCCTAACGCTAAACCACTAAACATGAAAAAATAATCTGATGTTAATATGAACAGCTAACTGCTAAGTCAACTGTCACTAAGTCTTCATCACACGTCTTCCTCTCCTTGTAGCTGAAGACTGGTGAGACTGAAACAGACATGTCGATGTTAGCTGTTAGCTGATTAGCTGTTGGCTGATTAGCTGAACAAACAGGTTGTAGGAGAGTGGGCAGACAGGTAAGTAGGGATTTAGTGGCTAAACGCTAATCACTGGAGACGAGACATTTAACTTTTGTTTCAGACTCTGTCGATGTCAGTATTTAAGCTTTGTGGTCACAGTGTGAAGTTTCACAACAAAAGTGACTCAAACGTTCGGTGGCGTCTCTTTGTGAGGACGTTTTCTGTAACTGGTACAGTTTGTTGTTACGGCTTCACAGATCTTCGTTGGTATTTCAGAGGTTTTAGTACGAGAAGCTTCAAAGGATGAGGTTAGACAAACATTACCTCTGGTAAAGAAAGGCCTGGTATCCTGACAGTTTAAATCTATAAAACACAAACTAAAGCAAATATAATGGATTTAAAGCTTCTTGAGTGACAGAATCTCTTATTTTCTCTCGCTAGAAGGTAAAACGTCTCTGCTCTGACTCAGAAGCTGATTAATTAATCAGCAAACGTCTGAAACGTTTCATTTTTCTGTTATAAAACTTTGAGTCAGAACTTTAACACAGATGAAAGAGGTGGAGGTAAAAAAAAACTGATTCTGTTTCAAACCATCTGAATAAACTCCTGAAGACAAAACTTTGTTATTTTTTTCTTTATCTGCTCATTTCTAAATAATTAGTCTATAAAAAGTTAATTTTTAAAACGTCTCATGGTTCTGAAGCTGCAGACGTTTGTCAGAAAAGCCTGCAGCTGTTCTTGTTTCCAGCAGTGATYTCTGTTCCAAACACTTTGTGTTTCGTTCTTTTTCTTCCCCAAAGAAACGAGAATTAATGAGAAGCTGCAGCTGCTGGAGGCTGAGCTGGAATATACAGCTGAGGTTTATTTTAGCTGATGTCTGCAGGTGACACTCATCCAACCAACCATCCAACCAGTCATCCATCCATCCATCCATCCAACCAACCATCCAACCATTCATCCATCCATCCATCAAACCAACCATCTATCCATCCATCCATCAAACCAACCATCCAACCATTCATCCACCCAGTCATCCATCCATCCAACCAATTATCCATCTATCTATCCATCCATCCATCCATCTAACCAACCATCCAACCATTTATCCATCCATTTATCCAACCATCAATCCAGTCATCTATCCATCCATCTATCCATCCATCCATCTAACCAACCATCCAACCATTTATCCATCCATTTATCCAACCATCAATCCAGTCATCTATCTATCCATCCATCCATCCATCTAACCAACCATCCAACCATT